TAGTAGTAGCAGCAGTAGTAGCAGGAGTAGCAGTAGCAGGAGTAGCAGTAGCAGTAGCAGTAGTAGTACTAGTAGTAGTAGTAGTAGTAGTAGTAGGAGTAGGAGTAGTAGTAGTAGGAGGAGGAGGAGGAGGAGTAGCAGCAGCTGCAGGAGGAGGAGGAGGAGTAGTAGTAGTAGTCAAAGTAGTGGTGTCAGTAGCAGCACCAGCAAGAGAGTCGTCTTTGTCGTCGTAGTGGTGCTAGCGGCAATGCTTGTGTAGGCTACAGTAGTAGTGGTAGCAGGTGGGTACGGTGCCTGATGTAGCGTGGCATCGTCAATTGCTCGTCCCTTTTAGCTACCGACAATTGAAATGGATGCTACTGCTCACAGACGCTCATGGGAATGCCCAGCTTAAATCCCACAGAGCATCACCAATTTTGCGCTGAAGTCGTGCGCTTGCGAGCCATGTTTCCGTTTCAGCTTCAAGGCAACCAAGAGCCGACCAGGTATTTTGTCTTGCGGCGACTCCGTGTTTAAAGAAGCTGCGGACACTCGCCGAGTCGCATCTTGATCTTGAAGGTGTCTGGGAAGCTCTTGGGCAGCAGGCACCTCGTCATCAAGGCTTGTGGACTTGTGAGGTCTGACGAACACGAATACTTTACTTAGCGTTCGCTGTCTGTACAAGGATGTGAGGACATTTGATGCTCATTCACTTTTGCTTTGCCATTCGCCGTTGTCAATGTGCTTGCTGGTGTTAGCGAGAGTGCGTGCCGGATCCGAACTCCGCAACTGTTTGAAGGGCCTAAGGGCATCGTCGGACTCAGATGCCTCCACCACGAAGACTGTCCAATGTGTGCCCGTCCGAGCGATGACACCTATTGAAACATGTCTTCCTGGAAAGTATGGGGCTACATCTGGAGTTGACCGGTTTAGAGGACCGGCTGACGTGCCACAACATCGCGGAGTCAAGTGGCGATTGTGCACAAACATCTGCCCAGAATCGACTCCAAGTTTTTTGGCTGAAACACTGACCAGAGCGCCGAGCGCCGACAAACTGACACCGAGTCACCAAATTCCGTCCGTGTCGAGCTCCAGCGGGAGGCCCACTTGCTCACAGAACTCTCGTGCCTGCGCACTTAAAACCAGCAGTCTGGGTCGGACGGCTTCCATCGAATCTGTCAGCGCCCTTCACAATCCGAGACCTTTCACAACACCCACCCCAAGTCGCCCTGAGGCAAGGTCACTCACATGCTCTGTTGTAAGGCTGGCCAAGCGAAATCTAAATGCGCAGCCGAACCGCCATCCGCGGCCCACAAGCGCCCTACCCTTACATCCGGCGAGACGGCTCGGCCACGAAGCAAACTTTTGACTGTTGGGGGCGGCTCAACGCCACTCCAAACAGTGATCGAAAACCTCATGGCAAGCCCCAGCAAACACCAGACCGCGCGCAGCGAACGTGCCAGTCTGAACACTCGAATGGTACTGCCAGGCCTCACGGATGAGGTTCGACCCAGTATATGTGACCTGAAGGCATCTTCGACAGCTGCACTGTATCAACACAACTCCTGCCTTCGATCCCGATGGTGTCAGGTCAAGTATGTTTTCGGACAGTACATTCAGAACATAAACACGCATTGGGGGAGAGTTCTTCTTGCCACATGAGCACACATAATCTTGTGCCGTGCAGCAGCCACGGTCGTTGCTCAGGCTTCTTCACCCTTTAAAGCTCGCACAGCGAATTTCTTGAGATTCACACAATTCCAGCCATCTTCATGGAATGCCAGCGGGCGCCCTGACGGGGCTGCAACTTAAGCTCGTTTCTCTGTCCGTCTTGAGGGCTCTTGAGCATGACATTCAGATGCATCATGTCTAACATATTCCACGCCAAAGAGGATCCCGTGGCTTAGGGCCTAGTGATTCTAGCTACTTCTACATAGCATGTCTGTCTTTCGGCGTGGCGCGACGGCAGTGTACCCAAGTGCAGCCTTGCGCATCACGTAGCCATAAAATGAGTTCAGGATGCATTTGTGCGCCAGCCTCGGTGAACAACTGCGGCAGGCGCGGAAGGTCGAGAAATTTCTGTAAAGCTTTCGGAAAAATCCGAGTCAAGCGAAGCAGGCAAAGGATAAATTCTCCCCCGCTATGCGAAGAACGCAAGAATCCTCATGGTTAGACTCGTCTCTTGTGAAGTAGCACCGCTGCTGCGAGCTGAATGCCAAGACTTTAGTTCCTTCATCACCTATGTGTGTCGTCGAAACACTGTCTAAAGCAGGCACAACCCGAAACATGATTGACTTGGCTGAAGGTACAAAATACAATCTTAAGTGGAATCAGCAGATAAGTGTTCGTGGATTTACACAAAAGAGACAGAGAGAGAGAGAGAGAGAGAGACACGCAAGCGTACGTACACACACGCACACACGCGCGCGTGCACACGCGTAGAGACACTATCAGAGAAACACAGAGACACACCCCCACATCCCCACAACCCTATCGCTGGACACAGACACTCTCCTCTCTCACACACGCGCAGATGGAGAGACAGAGAGACAGACAGGCAGGCAGGCAGGCAGAAAGACGGACGGACGGACGGACGGACAGCCAGACAGACGGACAGTACCTACCTATCTACCTACCTACCCAGCTAGCTAGATAGCTAGCTAGCTACCCACAGTACCTACCTAACATTAGTTAGTGCCTATGTACGTAGAAACAGACATAGACAGACAAGCGGATAGACAAACGGGCAGAGAGGAGAGGACAAAGGACAGGGCGGGGACACAGGACGGGCCACAGAGGACAAGCACAGCAAGGCGCAGTGCAGCGCAGAACCGGGGCACAGAGAGACATGCTCACCCCAGAACACAAACACGCGCGTACGAATTCAAAGGCATACAAAGTTTGCAAGTGCACCTGCGCCACACATTGCAAATACGATGAATTTCGTTGAATTTCACTCCATACACGCGTGTGCACATGACATATACAACAACTCCTGTATCCGAACATGAACTGTCCTAGAGTGCATGACACGACTCCCCACAAGGCTCTAAACACCTACAGGGCAGGATGCTCCCAAACCGGACGAGGACACCTAAGCTGGATTGTAAGCTGAGAACTGCAGGGAGTCGTTCAGCAGCACCATGTCCTCCGTGGTGTGTTCTGCGTTCTGGAATACAAATTCTCAGCTTTAGTCGCATTAGGCTACTATGAGTGCTCTATTCGTTATGCACTTTGAGAACTACTGAAGCCCCTGACGTCGAAAACCACCCGCTGCCAAACTAAATCCCGAAAATAGCGAGCCTTGGCTTCACTCTTGGCGGCCAGGTCACCACCTCGCTGATCAGTCATGCAAACAGCATCGGTTGTCTTGAGACTGGGACTGGGACATGCAAGAGCCATATCAGGACAATCAGCATCGTCACCACTAGCAGCAATGTCGCAATGTCAATAAGGGCTTCAAGGTTGAAAGTAGGCTAGCCGCCATGAATAGGCACCCAATCGGCCGTAAACAAAGGCCTCATAGAATCAGATCATGCGACCGTTCGTGTACAGCTGTCAAACATTTGGAGCAGTTTCGGAACGGTCGCATTGTCCAGCCAAGCAGGTCAGCGGACTGTCCTATGACAGTCTCCAAACAGCGGTCAGCATTTTGCTCCTGAATTCCCGAGCCCAGTCTTTCTGACTGTGCTGTTCGCTCTAGCAGGATGAAGCCAGTGGTTTCAACCTTCGTTGGCGCGCGGGCGCGTCGGAATACCGGGTGGTAGATCTGCATCGCAGATCGCCCAAGGCTCCACCAGGCCCTTCGCCCCACGCATTCCTCAGAAGGTCACGGAAAGCCACTGGAAGCAGCGGATTGGTGTGAACAGAGGAGCACAGCTTGCAAAGACTACGACCACTCTTAGAAGCCATCGTCCTCACAGAAGCCGCCTTCGTTCTGTGGACAGACTACCATGGAGAAGGATGTGCTGAGAGAGAAGCTTTGAGTATCGTTGCACAACAAATCGGTCTTTAGGCTTATTTTTCATGCATCGAAGCAGTGAGGAAACACAGTCAAAACTTAGGGTTTTGGTTGACTTGGAGCCTGCTGGTGACTGTTGCCCTCTCTCGTCCCAACTTGGGTTTGGGCCGTCGAGGGATAGCTCACGACTCCCTTAACTCTCTCAGCAGCTTGCCCTTCCTACCAGGGATTTCTTGGCACGCTTCCTGTCAGCATCCACTACCAGAAAGATCCAGAAAGCCGGCACCTAGACCACCACTCAGCAGCAGCAGCGGCAACAACTACCCCAGAAGCGATCATCAACGGAAGTTCCGTCAGGTTGGTGTAGGTTCCCTCCCCGATCACAGCAACCATCCCGGTTCAGCCCGGAGGCTTTGGACTGGCTCAGCGGGGGGTTTTGCCAAGGCAGCTGAGACTCGATGCTAAAAAGGAAGATTGATGATTGATGTGTTGTAGATACATTGCATATGGCTGTCAGGGGTGTTGAGGCATTCTAGACTTTGCTTGCTGATGCTCTAAGAATCTGGGAGGTGTCCTGCCTCTATACAGAGATTAGGGACTTCAGAAACGCTCTTTCGGGGGTTGGAGGAATTGTAGGTACTTGCGAGTTGTGACACTGCCAGAGATCGTAGATGGCCTGGAAGGTGTTTCAGCGCTTAGGGCGTGCTTATAAGGAGCTGTCAAATTAAAGTTGCTATGGTTGTGGAACAACACTGTAAGAGGACGCAGTCAGCACTTGGCACTCAAGAAAGCTGTCTGCACACGTTTCTCTCTGGAGAAATGCATCCTCACAACATCAACAATGAATGTTTATCCATTCGGGTTATCACCGGTATGCCAGAGCTCTTGCACCAACTCCTTCCAACCCCAGCGCCGGCTGTCTAGACTCATGAGTGGAACCCAACTCAGAAAGCACATTCAATCGCAAGAGCTGCAAGGGCAGTTGGACACGCCAGGCTCTCCGAGATTCCAAGAGGGTCCCGCAGCTGACTGCATTGGACTGCAGTGAAGAAGTGATGTCTCATCCTCCAGAAGGAAACGCATATCAACATTAGAGGCTGTTGCAACCTGCAGCCATTTCTTTACTGGTAGTGCCGTTGCTCGGTTCATTGCCTTCCGTCTTCCGAGTGGGACGGGGCGAGACGACAAAGCAAGACAGACAGGCAGACAGGTGCACAAGTGCAAGCCATAATTTGCTGGTTTCCTTCAGCTACATCTGATGTGCAGCTTGATGCAGTCTTGCTATGCACATTCGGCAATGCCAAAACTGTCCATGCCTTGGCTGAACTTGGAGAGGAGGCCGGCAAGACCGTAGACGAAGCTGGCCAGGTACGGAAGCAGAATCAGTAGGATGGTCGCATAAGCCAACGTCTCACCTGCCGAAAACTGGCGCAGATTGGCTGTGAAGGGCTAGTATGAGCTGGGGCTCGGGAACGACCTACACAACCCATGTCTTTGAAACGCGGTGACTTCTTGCCTAGACACGTGAGGGCAGCAGAGCGTCTAGCACGCGGGAAATGCGAAAGGAATCCGGCGGCTCGGCTCGCCGATCTCCTGCTGGGGGCATTGGACGAGTTCGGGCTTTGGTTGATGTTGGGTGCGCTGTCCTTCGGAAGCAGCTGCCTTTCTTGTTGTCGCCTGCCTCCTCCAGATTGGGCGGAGGTCCCTGCTGAGAAAAAGGCCCAAGATACACTGGCTTTAGCCTGTGGCATTGTGTCACCCTGTGAATGCAGAGGCTAGCTATCCGATGTCCTTGCCTGCCACAAGGACTTCCCAAGCTTCATTCGGGGCTTCACTTGTCGAGCGCAAGATTTGGATGCGTTGACCGATGCCTGTCCTCTTGGCCGACTTCCGCTCTTGCTCCGGCGACACTGTGTATGGCCCACCTTGGTAGGACTGCAGGGTCCATACCATGAGGCTGAGTTTGTTGGGTCTCCGGGGAGAGGTGTGCCTACTGAGTAAGCACTTCTAGCCGTAGTTGCATGTTGCCGGCTCCTCAAGGCCCAAGTTGCAGACACCATGGAAGAAACACCATGAGCCTGCACAGACTGCAGATCTGCAAGCCTGAGCCAACACATATCCCTAGAGTCTAGCGCTCGAGTAGCCGCAGCAAAGTCAGACAAAGCGAGAGAGACAGAGAGAGAAACAGAGCACATCGGTAACAACAAGAGTCGTGCCAGTTCATAGCTATCATCTATCCTTACTCTGGGGGCTCGGAGAACGGGACTCCCAGTTTTGAGATTTGTCATGCCAGGTGACACGCTGCGATCATCTTCTTATAGGCCACCTGAATTTCCTGGTCGGGTCTGGTAGCAAACTCCCTTCCATGCAAAACCAACTCAAACATCAAGCAGCCATGGTTGTTGGTGTCAAGGCTTCGTGGTCGAGGACTCACATAGATTCAACAAATATGCGACCTGCGCACAGATACGTTTTCGCCAGGAACAAAAAAGCCGACGTCTTTACCTGCTCTGTGTTCTTGGCTCTTGGCGAGGAGATCGGACGCTTGAAATCTTTTGGGCCGATGGCTTCGCGCTGGTCAGGCCTGAAAGCGAGAGGTGGCTCGCTTTGACTTGTCGACGTCCGGGTGAAACTTCAACGCCTGCGAGGTCACGTCTATGTTTGGCGGCTTCTTCTGCAGACTGGCACTGAATGATACTGGGTACATTAGTTATCAATTGCTGCTGCCCTTGAGTATGTACATGTCGAATTACAGACCCTTGCCTTCCATTGAAAAATCGTGACGACAAGGACTGTGCAAAGCCACTCCAACTTCCGAGTCTTGCATTGATTGCAAATCCAAATCCTCTGACATGGAGTCGTAGGTCTCTTGGAAGCACTCGTATCATGGCTTCAGTAAGGCTCCATCGCTTCATTCCCGCATGAGGGTTGACAACAATGAGTTTCGGCTTTGCTTGGATAGCGAGTGCTCCAAGGACCAGGGTTCGGCCCCTCTTGGGTTTCGGGTATGGGTGTCTCAAGCAGCTGCTCTAGGTGAGTGCTCTGGATATGCCGGAAGAACCATCTGACGAACCGTCCCTCAACCCATGCCGCGGAGATCGGTGTACATTGCCAAGGATGGCACTAAGCGTCTGTAGGCCAGCTTGATCTCGTCTTTGTTTGCACCTGAGATGCAGAAGGGTCATGGTCAGGGGACATCCAGAGACGACGGGTCCGATGGGCATGTAGCCTGCCTTCGAAGCTCCAACCTTCACGGTCTTTTCGAAGGGTATTACCGGGTATTACCCACAGTTCGGCTGCGGTGTGACCCATGACCTTTGTAGACTCGACTCTAAACACCAGGCACCTAGAGCCCTACAGTAGCCTTCCACAGTGTGGTGAACCTGTCGAAAATCCACCACGTGTGAAGATCACAAAGACACTCCTACGGAGGACAGACTTTCTGACATGGCAGTGGGCTCACTTGTTGTGACGGCTTCCATCACGTCCCTGACAACAGTAAAACGAATCTAATACCCTTCAGAAGCTGAAGCGCAAACCCCCGGAACAATCTGCATCCCCAGTCTAGGTCCGCCGCCTTGAGGTATACCAAGCACTTCCCACCTCAAGGCCGCGAAAGAAGTGGTGCTCGCGCACTTCGAGTAGCATGGTGGTAGCGCTCAAGCTTTAGTGGCGGCATTGCACCGTTCGTTCCAACCCCAGCAATAACGACAACAACACGGCAACAGCAACAGCAACAACAGCAGCAGCAGCAGCAGCAGCAACGACAACGGCAACAGCACCGGCGACAGCGACAGCACCAGCAACGGCAACAGCAGAAACAACAAGAGCAGCAACAACAGCAGCAGCGAAGCAACAGCAACAGCAACAGCCTGCAACAGCAGAGCAAGGGCAACCGTAACAACAACATAACAGCAACAACAATAACAACAACCATCACCCCAGCGCCGAATCCGACGCCAACGCCAATACCAACACCAGCAGTGGCCACAGCAGCAGCGCTGCAGCAGCAGCAACACAGAAACAACAACAGCAAATACAACAGCAACGCCGACACCATCACCACCACCACCAACCACAGCAACGACAACGGCGACAGCCGCAGCAGCAGCAGCAACCACCACCACCAGCAGCAGCACCACCACCACCACCAGCACCACCAGCACCAGCACCACCAGCACCAGCACCACCAGCACCAGCACCACCAGCGCCACCACCAACACCACCACCACCAACACCACCACCACCACCACCGCCACCGCCACCGCCACCGCCACCGCCACCGCCACCGCCACCGCCACCGCCACCGCTGCCACCACCACCACCACCACTACCACCACCAGAACAAGGGCAAGCGCGAGCCTAACGAGATCCCCAACGACAACGGCAGCATCAGCCACACAAGAACCAAAAACAAACACCACAACAAGTACTACTACTACTACTACTACTACTACTACTACTACTACTGCTACTACTACTACTACAACTACTGCTGCTGCTACTACTACTACTACTACTGCTGCTACTACTACTACTGCTAGTACTACTA